TCTGCCTAGTACTAAAATATTTCTGAACTAGAAGTTCAAAATACCTAATTGTTATTATTATTTTCTAGTTTTCAGTGCACATAAGATAAAACCGTTTAACTTAAAAGTGTTTTTACCGATTTTTTATTTTCTAGTTTTTAGTATTTAACGGAAATGCCCACCGAATATTCCTCATTCTATTTAATTCATTTAGTGCATCATTATTACATGTTTTTTTATCTGATAATTTATTACAATCTAATTCCTCAATACATAGCCCTTCCAGAGACTTGACTCGACTTAGAGCCACGTATGTTTGCCCTTCCTCAAACAATTTTGAGCCCAAATACACTACTGCATGGTCGACTGTGCTGCCCTGCATTTTATGGACGGTGGATGCCCATGACAAAATTAAGGGTAACATCCTTCTTTCAGCCGTACCATAATTGAATTTTGCTGGAAACTGTATGGCTTTCGGGTGTATAACGTGTATGCCGTCTCTGCCAAAGTCAATCCAAACTGATGGTACATCTGTTTCGTACATTTGGGTTCGACGGAACTGAGGCTAAACAATTTCTGTAATGTGGCCTATAGCACCATTTACCAATCCTTTTGTAACGTCAATGATGGACCGCAACATTTTCACAAATTCATCACCTATTTTTTTTATCTGTCCTTCTAACGTCACACAATCTTGGACACAACTGTTCTGGACACATATACCCTTGCGTTATGAACTTTTTTTGTAACTTGACTATTTTTCGAGATAGCGCCCGAACGAACATGAACGATCATGAACAAGGGGTGGTAGCTTCAAACGTCTTTTTTTTCAGGAAATCATATCATAATATTGTCATAATATTCATTCACTTGATAAATTCCATGTTTAGTTTTGAGGAAATAAATACATAGGAGAAAATTTCCGATTTTGTTTATTTTACACTCAGAAAAATTCAGCTTGCCCGTAATTTTTTTTTTCAAATGACAATTTTATTGGATTATTGTAACTCCCTTCACATACAAATTACATCTTTATCTAGAATAACTAAATATTTCCTTTTTTTTCCATACTTTAACAGTTAACATAGGTTTTTTACAGAACTTTTATTTCTTGCTGTTTCTTGTTAAAACCTCCTTTAAAGAAATTTAATTTAAAACTACTCGGTTATAACGATAATATCTCCGTTCCTGCAACAGCGAACTCTCGCAGGAAATAGTCTTACGCAAAAGGTAATTAGATTCGTGCTAAAGGCCTACATATTTCCGTTATCGTATCGCGAAACTATGCACGAACTTACACCAGTCTGGGGGCGAAAAAGGGAAATATATCACTCGCGGCAACACCGCCGCACGTCCACGATGCTCTACTTGACTTGATTTACACGCGGGCCTGTAAATCCTGCGCTGTTGTACTTTAATCGCTGTGTGAGGTGGAGTGTTGAAGTTGTTAATTTATATATACAGGGAGCTAATGAAAGAGTGGAGATAATATACAGGGTGGTCCGAATTGTATTCGGGAAACTTTGGCAGCATATTGTGCAGATAAAAATAAGTAAAAAAGTTCTGTTGAACTTTTGGCGCAAGAACAATTTATGATTTCACTCTATATTTAGTCAACATATTTAATTTATATCAATAATGACAGGTATTGATAATTTCGATTTCAAATATCTCGAGAACCATTACTCGTAGCGATTTTTACCAAGAGGCCTTTTTTACGCAAAAAAAGTCTCAAATGTATATTTTGTTACTCGGTAGTTTTGTACGGACGAAAAGTTATTACTTTTAAAACTAGTTAAGAAATATGTAGGTGGCGCCCTCTACAAATAGGAATCATATTGACTTCAAAATCATACTTCTCATGTCAAAAAACTCCCAGATATCAATTTTTATTCAAATATTAACGTTACGTCATAAATAATTAGGAAAAAATCGAAATAATGTAATGAAATAAATGAAACTTCTACACCCTGTATGTCCGAAACGAAGCATTTTAGGACGTACATTTATACGTCCTAAAATGCTTCATAACTTTTTTATTTATTTTTATCTGCAGAATATGCTGCCGAAGTTCCCGGAATACAGTTTGGACCACCCTGTATGGCGCCTCTCATAGGACTCGGAGGCTCCAAGGAGAACGGTAATTTATATCGAAATGAAATTTTGGGAGCAGATTTAGGTTAATTAGAACACTTTTTAAAAATATAGAGTGTTCTACAGGGTGTCCCCAAAAAAAATTTACGTATCAAAGTTTTTTTTGTATTGGAACACTCTATATATTAACTAATTTTCGGATTTTAGGAAAAATAAAGGTGGGTTTCATTAAAGAAGCATATCCCTAAAATGTAAGGTTTTTTACATATTTCACATTTTGTAAAAACGAAGAATACGTTTTAAATTTGAATAACAGTAACTGTACAACCTTATATTTAGTTAAAATAATCTTTGTATATGAAACTAAGTTAAGATTTGACCCGAAAAATTATACAGAGTGAGACAAAATTAAGATTGAACAATGGCCACTTTTAAAAGCAAGTTACTCTTTTATTTTAAATGGAACACCCGGTATATTATTCCGATATTCAATGGAGAATTTATATATCTTCTTAATACTATTAAGGTTGCCTAGCCCTTCGACGACGATTTTTCTGCATACTTTCATTTTTATGATTTTGCATCAGATAAATAGATAAAGGTATATCATAGCCATCTAGATTTTATCAATAAAATTATTAATTTCGGAAGTAGCGACAATCATTTCTCTCATGTTGTCGACAATAGTTGGTCGAGTATTTTTAAAGTCTGTCTTTATCATATCTCTATAAAAAAGCCCAAACTAGATCAATCAGAAGCATTTAAGCATTCTATTAATTGGTGAATTCACACTGCAGTCAGCAATTTTTAAAACCATATCAATTCTCTCTGATGTAGAATAAGTTTCCATTTTCGGCAAATTTCTTACATTTTTTTTTATTTTAACTGATACAAAATGATAACTAGTTACTAGTGGTTAAAGGTGAATTAATTTGACAGCTATCTTGAAGTAACGTATAACGTTGGGTATCTCACAGTCACCTAGATTTTATCAAATAATAAAGATCTACCGACAATAAATCATAAAAATTAAAAAATTTACGACAATCTTTGTTTGAGGGGTAGGCAATAGGGGATTCAATCCCGGGATTTCGGGATTCCGGGATCCCGACGTTTTTTATCGGATTTTTTCAATCCCGGGATCCCGGGAAAATAATAACAGATCCCGGGATTTTATATAATATAGTATAACGCTATTTTTAAGGTTATATATGCAAAAACTCTTTTAGTTGAATTCCTTAAGGTGCGTATTCATTATCCGCACGAACGAACGAACGAACGAACGAACGAACGAATGAACGAACGAATGTTCGCTAGTGGTATGGACCAAAATTTGGTATGAGAGTTCTATAGAGATTAAAAAGAAGATATATGTTAAGATATTTTAGTTAAATGCTACAGGGTGTTCAAAATATATTTATAAATTTCAACTACTTAAAATTAAAAAATCTAAAATTTTTTAAATGGTAACTATGATGTTATAGCGTAATTGTATTAAAAATTAGGGTAAAAATAGAAAAAAATTGAATAAATCGCAAACTATTAAAAATAGGTATATGACATACTTAATAAAAGTTGAAGAGATTTTCAAAATCTATCAGAAAAAATGAAAATTTATAAGGTGTACCGTTTAAAAAATTTGAGATTTTTTAATTTTAAGTAGTTGAAACTCATAAATATATTTTGAACACCCTGTAGCATTTAACTGAAATATCTTAACATATATCTTCTTTTTAATCTCTATAGAACTCTCGTACCAAATTTTGGTATTCCAACTTCAGAAACAATGGCACAACTGACAATTTTTTACCACATTGCAATTTAACATTCGTATAAACAAATTTAAATATTACAAAAACTATTAATTTTAGGTATATAACATTATATATAAAAAAGTTATAGAATTTTACGCAGAATCTAAAAATAAAATAAAAAATAGGGTGTTGCATTTAAAAAAACATATGTTATATCCGCCACACATTTTTGAAGGACCCTGTATACTCTATAATAATTTTAAAATGTGTATCTTAACCTTCCTTATAACTTTTGTACTTAACATTTTTTTGTAAACCTCGAAACAAATGAGATAATGGACTTTACTCTATCGTTGACTCACCCTGTACAACACCGCCTACAAGTGTAGAATCGGAAAGGTGATTTTCGTCAGCAGGCTTGATAGTTACAAAATTTCGTTCTGCTATGGGAGATGGCACAATAGACAATATTATATTTTTGCGCTATTTTTTAAAAATATGGAATAATATTATCAGTCCAGTTTCTTTTTTGTTTTGTTTGAGATTTTTAATTTTTGTTTAATGTTGTTTAAGAAGAATATTTACTTACTTTCGTGTTCCAAAGACTTTGTTTTTGTTTTAACTAATTAACGTTAATTTTAATAAAATGTTCTTTGAAAGTAACATTGGTAACATTATTACTGAAATCCCGGAATTGAATCCCGGGATCCCGAGATTCGGGGTTCAGAATCCCGGGATCCCGACAACATAGTATTGTGAAGAGACATGCATTCCCCGTTAAATGTCGGAATAATATACTAGGTGTTCCATTTAAAATAACAGAGTAACTTACTTTTACAGGTGATGAACAGGTTCAATATTAATGTTGTCATGCACCCTTTCAATATAAAACAGTTTTGGAAAAATACAGTTACTCTTAATAATTTAAGTAGCTTAAAACGATATATGTTACTATTTTAACTTCGTTGAGATCATAAAAATTGTCCAGATTTTATTTCGGGGCTCCGATACGAGCCCCAAAAAGCGCCCGACCCCGGCCCAAAGCTCGCAAATCCTCCATCGCTCCCTCCTGAAACCGGCGCTGAAAGTCGTTCCTGAAAATGGCGGGGATAAAGCCCCGTTCACGAGGACCCGGTTCCGTCCTGTTGGAGCTTTCAGTCTTGCATCGGCGCCGCAAGAGAGCGCACGCCGCTACTGACGCTAGCGCGCCCCGACGGCGATCGAAGTCTTGAGCTTTTGTTTACCGATACGCTGTTGGTAGATACCCCGGCGGGATTTTTGTATTTCTCCCCGAAAAATGTTGAAATGCGTAGAAATATTAATGGTTTTTAGTGAATTGACTTGGATTATGTTAAATGCGAACTCAAACTACTGTATCGATTATGGAATGTGGTTGATCTGTTCAGATAAATAAATAAAATAAAAGTGACTTTAGTCGTAGTGATAAAAGTATATTGATGGAATGGTTTTATTGAGGTTTAAACGTTTTGGTTAACTGAGTGACAGAAATGACGAAAACTGTGAAAATGTGGCTGTGGTTTATCAATTGTCTCCTGTTTTTTGGATGTATTCAAATATCTAAAGGTGAGAAATTGTGTTGTGATAAGTGATAAGTAATATCCAGATATGATCACAGAATGAGTCATATAATGCCATATGAATCTGACGAAAAATTGTACTATGTTTCTAGTGAAGAAAAAACTTTTATTTTCTATGTAATTTGACAAATAAATAAAGCTGCCTCTTTAGTTGTCAGTTTTGAGTCAATATTTTTTAATTCTCTTTCGTGTCGATTGCTGATTGAATTGGATCCAGAAATTGCTCAAAACGGAATAAGTAAATTACCAACAAATATTCAGGCTGAGGCGACAAACGCCATATCCAAACTACTTTTACTACCATTTAAATCCCGAATAACTTATGAAAAGGAATACAAAATTTTTCAAAAATGGAAGCAATTAAAAAACGTGCGAGAAGAAATAAAGTTCTTAACCTATCCTCGCTGTTAAAGTATCATTTTATCTACTATTTTTGATAGATATACGGCAATTTTAACAGTTGTTATGGAAAAAAATATACTTTTGTATCTAATTGTTTTATTATTTTTGAAGCAATCAACAGAGTTGACGATCACTGCGATCTGATTTTGGTCTTCACATAAATTTGATCGAACCAATTGACAAAAATCATGGTATTAGTTAGGTCTGTCATATTTTACTTTTATCTTTGGACAACAGTATGATACAGTTATCAGGAGGTCATCCATCCAAACTCACCCTTTGCTTAATGTCGCTTAACTTTTACGATCAAGTGGGAACAGTTGAAAAATAAAAGAAATAAGACAGTCTTCCGTAAAAATTTAGACAGAATTTTATACATTGACATAAGTATAAAAAATTATTACGATTTATCCTTTGCATTGATTTGTTTTGACGCAAGCTTGTTTTGACAAATAAAATGTACACAAACCATTTCTTTATTTAAAAGTGATTTAACCACAGACTTAATAAAATTCTTTTTTCAAAATTTGAAAACGAAAACGTCATTGACAGTAGTCACAGACTATTTATATAAGCATGCAGAAAAAGTGTGATCAATCTGAAAAAATAAACAGAAAATATATAATATCAAATGTATCTTGTTTCGTATACCGGGTGTTGCATCGTCGAGCGGGACATAGGAAATCCCATGTAAATTTTAATGGGGACAATTATTGGCTTCCCTAATTATTTTAGAGAATAATTCTATTTAGGTTTATTGAAGAGCACTAAAACCCACATTCAAAAGAATAACTTTAGATATTTTTGATTAGCCCGTTTACGAGTTATCGCCCGATTTCTTTTTAAATATTTCTCCTTTCTTATGGCCCTGTATTTACTTACGAGCAGCAGTCAAGGTAAAAGATAATTGTCAAATGAAGTTGTCATTTCGGAACTTTATCTATTTAGTGCTTTATTATTATTATTAAAAACTCATACCTACATCGAAAATATTAGCCATGAATTACACTACCGAAGAAAAAGTATTGATGATTAAATGGTATTATCAAGGAAATAGTTCTCAAAAGGTATCGGACATGTTTGCTGCTCTGTATCCGAATAGACCGATACCTGGAAAATCTACAATCGCAAGGAATATCCAGAGATTTGAGACCAAAGGTACCCTAATAAATAACTGCAAATGTGAAGCAAGACAGGAACAAAGAGAAGATGCAAGAAATGATACCGACTTGGAAGTTTTATTGTGCGTGGAAGAGAACGATGGAAAGATCAACACAAGGAAACTTGAGGATGAAATAGGAATAGATCACACTACAGCGTTTCGAATTTTGAAACGACATAAATACTATTCCTTCCAATATGAAAAGCACCCAGAGCTACGAGATGGGGACGAAATACGGCGGCAGGCGTTTTGTTTTGATATGATGGAAAGAGCAAACACGGATAGGAAATTTTTAAAAAACATATGTTTCCCTGAAGAATGCACGTTTACCTTAAATAATGAACCCAATATGTTCAAAATTATCGAGATTGGAACAAAGAAAACCAACATAGGTTTGTCGAAACAAGGACGCAATATCCACAGAAAGTAAATGTTTGGGCAGGGATATTCGGACGCAATATTATCGGGCCATTATTTCTTACGCGAAATTTAAATGCAGAATATTATTTGGAACTACTCGAAAATCATATTTTACCTGCTTTACATGATGCCGCTAGAAAAAATCAGGAAGTTTGGTACCAAATGGATGGCTGTCCGGCACATAGTACCTTGGCTGTTCGGGAATATTTAGACAATAGTTTTAACGAAAACGTTATTGGCCTAAATCATACAGTAAATTGGCCAGCAAGGTCTCCTGATATTTCGCCAAATGATTTATTTCTCTGGAGCCATTTAAAAAACAGGATATACAAGGATAAAAAATACCCAAATCTAGACGAGTTAAAAAATGATATTTCTGTCGAATGCAATAGAATTTCAGTTTACCAACTAGCGAATGTAAGAAGAGAATTTTATGATCGCCTGGATTATTGTCTAGCAGTCGATGGAGGAATATTTGAACATCTTAAATCCTAAAGTTCTAACAATTTAATATTACCTAAATTAATAAGTTATTGGATATTGTAATAATACTATAATTAACCTTGTAATTTATTACTTCATTTTACTTCAATTCATATTAATTTGTATATTAAATACATCTTTAAGATTTCCGATGCAGGAATGAGCTTTCAATAATAATAAAGCACTAAATAGGTAAATTTCTGAAATGACAACTTCATTTGACAGTTATTTTTTACCTTGACTGGTGCTCATAAGTAAATACAGGGCCATAAGAAAGGAGAAATATTTAAAAAGAAATCGGCGATAACTCGTAAACGAGCTAATCAAAAATATCTAAAATTATTCTTTTGAATGTGGGTTTTAGTGCTCTTCAATAAACCTAAATAGAATTATTCTCTAAAATAATTTGGGAAGCCAATAATTGACCCCATTAAAATTTACATGGGATTTCCTATGTCCCGTCCGACGATGCAACACCCGGTATGGTTTTTATTGATGAATTATGTCGATTATGTCAATATGAAGTATTGAACTGGCAACTGTTTACATCTAGAATATCTCGGGTATCTTCGTTTTTGACAATAAAGTTTTAGTAGGTATGGGGATACTTGAGCCAGACAACAGATTTCTACTGATTTTGCTGTCTGTTTTACTGTTTGACCGTCTGTTTTACTATTTTTAATGCTTCTTTTGTCGTTTTGGCTATCTGTTTTACTGCTTTTATGCTGTCAGCTTTTATACCTCTATAAATAGAGAACCAAAACAGTAAAACGGATAGCAAAAACAGAAAATGAAATAGTAAAAATAGTAAAACAGACGGCCAAAAGTATAAAGCAGGCAGTAAAAACGGTAAAATAAACAACAAAACAGTAAAGCAGACAGCGAAATCAGTAGAAGTCTGCTGTCTGGCTCAAGTGTCGCCATACCTACTAGTTTTTCTATTTTTTTATTATTATTCTTCTCAATGTTTTTTTTTTGAAGTACTATGCAAAGTTCATGAGCTCAAGCATTCTTTTTTCATTTCATTGTGTCTAAAAGACCACAAATTTACTGACCCTTAATGTAATACTCCACCCACTATTATATTCCCCAAGGGGTGAATTTTTTAAATCCCATTATCATTCACGGAGTCAAACGCCTTGCGGTCAGAATGAATTGGTTTTTTATGTTCCAACGAAATTACTGGGTATTTATGTTTGCTTTTTTAATGGATTGTGACGTACATGACTCATTCAAAACACACTTAGTTCTACATCCATTCTCAAATATTTTTTTTTTCACTTTTTATTTAAAAAGAATAATACACTCACGAAAACCATTATTATACTTAATTTATGTTGATCTTTATATATTATTGTATTAAAAAAAATCGTATATTAGTAAGTGGTACCAATTTTACAGACCAATACACCAGAAAATGACAATTTAACACTTTATATCTGTGTTTTAAAGAGAGAAATATAACATAATTATCGTTGTATACTAAGTGGGGCTTGCGTATCTGTAATTTGTGCTGTCGGCGTCTTTGTTGTTAAATTGGAACAAGTGTCACTGGGAACGACCGTCAATCATTGGCGACATTAAGTTGTTAGTGGCTTTTAAATCGGTAAATGGGGATTAGTGTTACGTAGCGTTATGTAGGGATTTGGAGTAAATTGTACTGAGAAATACCGTATGATCGAGAAAAAACGGCGTCAGCGATGGCTATGGAATGAAGATCGCTGTCATTCTATATGTAAATTTATATGGGAAATGTCATTCATGTTCATTTCCCAGCCAACTGGACGCCGTTTTTTTCGATTATATGGTATTATATTTCATTTGTTAGTATTTTATATCTAGCTGTTTACAAGTTTTTATTTAGTTTGCCGTGTTAGTTAGTTTGGGTCAAATATTGCGAGCTGAATTAGAACCACTTCTTGACATCTGAGATGTGCATGCTGGTTAGGGTTTCCGACACCGGAGCTGTTTTTCGGAACCGGAAATTTCGGTGCCGCGCCTCTTAGGAACCGGGATTTTTCGTTCTTTTTCGGTACTTTCGGTACCGACTAATTTTTGTTCAATGGTGGTGCAGTTCATCAATCAGAAAGCAAAGGATTGTTTTTCGAAGTAAAATGGATAAAAAATTTACATTTTTAAGGAAAATAATATCTTGTAATTTTTATTTCAATTTTTTACATAAGATGGAGGCCATTGTAACGCACATTTTCAAAATATTTTTGTCAACATACAGGGTGATTCAAACCGCAATACATATGCTTAATACAGTTCATGAAGATTGAGACATTTAACTAAAATTTGATTACCTATCTAAAGAAGATGAAGCTACCTTTAAAAGTAATGGATTTGTAAATAAACGTAATATTCATTATTATGCGACAGAAATCCCATACTGTAGCACACAGATTTGATACTTTTAATTATAAATGCCTTCTATTGAGAGACTAAAAGGTAATTGCCTCGTATCAGAGCCATCATAATACAAGAAGAAGACCGAAAGTCAAATCTTGTCTTATATT